TTTTTTATAGAACGTCAGAAATAAAAAAAAAAAACAGAAAAAGAACCAGCTGATAGAACGGCAGATAATATTTTAATTCATTTATTTCAAACGATTAGCACGATTTAATTTCTTTTTAATTATCCTTTTTATTTTAACGCGATGTCGATGAATTATCAACTCCATGGCGAAAATATCATGCAAATATAAATTCTATAAGAATTGATATTAGGCAAACGTAGCTTAGCAACGCAAACTACCAAACGTTCTATGTTTAAACAGGCTGCAAAGAATCCATCGAATTTCATAATTATCAGCAAGGTTATCATGCATAATTTCATCGAGATTATCATGAAGCGTATTGGTAAAAGCGTCATTTGCAAGTTACAATTGCTATAATCTCCCTGTACAATTTGATCGATTTTTATTGTAAAAATAATTGTTATATCAATATGTACAGATCTTGAAATTTTGCAATGTAATATTTACATTCAAAATAAGCCAATGAATTTTCTTCGATATTAGTCGAGATATATAAGACTGGAAAATGTTGCAACATAATTTAGTATTGTTTAAGAACCAGACTTGTAAAGTTAGTTGAAGATGACGTTGCTTATAAAAATATTATTATTTTCTTATATTGTCATGTCTTGTAAATCAGAAATTCAATTTTATCGTTTTAATCAACTCTACAATGCAACTGAGCAATTGGTACTTAAAATTAAATATTTCAATAAATTTCAATTTTACAATAATGAGTTTTTTATAGATTGACACATTATCCAATTGCATGATTCAAAGGAAACGCTTCGTTACCCTGTTGAGTGACACTAAGGAATCAATTGGTTCCTCATCGAAACTTTTTAATATTTTTACTGTTTTAAAAATACAAATTCCCATTTCGAATGATAGTAATCTACAAATTTTTGATCATGACATATCTAAAAAGACAGAAATCATTTTAGCGATAGTATCCAATCCTTTAACATTGCGATATTTTTTAACGAAACTGAAAAAATCCAAATGGTGGAATCTTTATGGATTATATTTAATCATCGATGCTAAAACATTGGAAAAAGGTTGTGATAGGGCGTATGATTTTCTTCAAATCATTTGGAAACAAGATATACTTTCTTCCACATATTTTTGTATTAATTCTAACGAAGAAATAATGATGTATACTTACAATCCTTACACGAACTGGGCTTTAAAAGAATGGAAAGAAGTTTGGGAAAAACCAATGAATGTATCATCAAACAGAAACTGGACATTATATGAACAAAAATTTATTAATAGTAAGAACATTTTCTTTACTTAATTCCAACGATTTTATTAAATAATATTCATAACAAAAAAACACAGATTTTTATTATAATATTATTCGTAAATAATTTTGATCACAAGATAAAACGACCTGTTCAAACTTGGATTTTCCTAAAACTTTGACACTCGGTGGGAAAGAAATAAAAGCAATAGCAATATCCCTTCCACCGAGTTTAGTAATAAACCCAAACAAAACTGGCTATGAAAATTACCATGGAGTGGATGGGAATATAGCAAAAACATTATGGAATAAATTAAATGCAAGTTTACAAGTAACGATCACCAATGACACCGCCCAAAGTTACTTTGGTTATTCGAAATCAAATCAGGGTATTTTCGATATCATTAATTCCGGTAAAAAGGACATACTTTTAAATTCACAATACATATTCAACAAATATATGAACGTATCGTTCACTTATTGTCATATTAATACTGGAATCAGCTTGTTGTCGCGTTACGCTGGTTACGAGACCGGACCATCCAAAATTTTAAATTTTATGAACCCCAAATTGATTCTCGGAACAATCCTGGTATTTTGTGCTACGATAATAATCTTTGTTATTGCAAGAAAAGAAGGAATTGTATTCGCATTTCTTGAAGTATTAAGAATAGTAATTGGTGCAACCATTATAAGAAAAGAAGAAAAAACATCTCTAAGGATTTACTTGATTACAGTAGTGTTATTATTTTTAATCACAGGTGCATTGTTTCAAGGAAGTCTTTCGTCGTTGTTAACGTCACCGGTACAAAAATCAAACATCGATTGTATAGACGATTTAAAAAATTCCGGTTACGAAGTGTACATATTTAGATCTTACCAAAATATAATCTTTGACGAGGAAATTCGTTCGCGTTTGAAATTTATAAATCATTGGAATTGTACGAAATACGTGTTAGAACAAGAAGACGTTGGCTGTGCTGCAGAACGTTTAAGATTAATGAAAATCGGTTTTGAAAATCATTTACACGTTTCAAAACACAGATTGATAACTTTGTATTCAGCTTACGTTGTTCGTCCTAATTGGCCATTGAACGATAGGGTTAGTAATCTTTTACAACGTATGTGGCAATGTGGATTAATCAGATATTGGGTAACTGAAACTGCGTGGAATTATAAACCGGAATGGTTGCTTAGAGATCAAAATATAATGAAAGAAAATAATAATTACCGATCATTGACTTTAGCCGATCTAGCATTTGTTTTTTACATTCTTTTATTCGGTTTTATTGCTTCGATTCTTGCATTTTTTCTCGAACGATTTGATATATGCTCAAAAAAGGAGGAAGGAAGTCAGGAAAATTGAAAACAAGGTTTCTCAAACTTTTCATACAATCTTCTTAATTAATTCTTTTTTTTCGCGACATTTCGTCTAGACATTTTTTTTTTTATTTCTTGTTTAAATTTCACCGAACTCCTATAAAATTCATTACCCACATTTTGAGAAACCTTGAATAAATGGAAAGAGGATATTATCAAAAATACAAAATTGTCGATTTAACATAAATTATAAATGAATTAGAATCTATGCGGATCGTTCTAATTAAAGGATTGTTGCGACTATTGATTTGGTCAATATTTTATTTAAATCCTTCGCTTTTAAACAATTTTTCTTTATTCAGAGAACCTTATCGATCTCTGTAAAATGAATTATTGTAGTAAATTACGTTCCTTTTTACAATTTATACCATATACACAATAGTAATAATAATAATAATAATAATAAAATAATCAATAATAATTAATAATGATAATAATAATATTAATTATATAATGCAAACCTTAGGCACACAAAACATAAAAGAAACCTAATAGATCTATTACTGTGAGAAACCGTCTCCCAATTGGCCGACAGTGTTCAATTATTATACTCTCTGTCTCTCTCTTTCTCTCTCTCTTGTTCGGTTTTTTCTTTTTTTTTCTTGATTCAATATCCTTACGTATTAACGATTAATTATACAAACCGCGATCGATACAAATTGTTTTCTCTCTTTCATTCTTTTTTTTTTTTTCTTTTTCTTTTCGTTCTCATAACTTATTTCCAAACTTTATCTATTAACTCTTTCGTAACACTGTGATCATTTTATAAAGTAGGTAAAAAAGCCATCTTTCACAAAATATAATATAATATACATACATATATACATACATATTTTTATGTATATATATATATATATATACGTATATTATTCATATATTTATATATTGTCACACGGTTTCTTATCATTCATTATTATTCTAAAAAATTGCAATAATATATTAT